ATTACTATTGCTTATTGTCTCCTCAGGCTTGATGTCAACTTCACATGCCTGCCAAGGGATTCACCAGCCCACAGCAATGCATCCTCCTCTTCTCTAATGCCCTGGTGCAGTGGATAGATGGAGGGGGACGGTGAAGTGCAGGGCTGGGGTCCCTGGGAGAGCAACCACAGGTTGGAGGAAGGCTTTTCCTCTTGGTTTTGGTAAATAAGCGTCACTTTGAGTAATTCATGAGCTGTCTGGTGGCAATGGTCCCCAGGGGGGATGCTGTTGTACCCTGAATTGGAGAAAGGCTCCTGGGAGGATCTGCGTTGTCTTGGTGGAAACCCAACATTGCACCACACAGGACATGGGGGCAGATGCCCAAGAGGAGATGTCCTGGGAGGGTGTGGGGAGCCGAAGGAGGCAGGGAGAGCGTGCACTCTGCAGCGCACTGCAATGCCAGCCCCGCTGTGGGATAGGGACAGGCCACCCGATGACCTCGAGCCATGTGCTGGGGACATCAGGTGATTTGCACACCAAATCCACTCAAGTGGCTGGTCTGTAGGGTGGAGATATGCCCCGTGCATCACCGTGTCACCAGAGATGGTGCAGCCACACGCGGGCTGGCTTGGTAGGATGAGGCAGGAATGAGCAGTCCAGCATTTCCTCTGATGACCAACCCGAAGCCTTTCTTCTCAAATCCCTCTTCTTGGGAAAACCTCCTACCTTGCTGGGCCAAACCCCACAGCCCTGGGCAGGGCTGGCCAAATGCTGGACCCTGGATAAAACGCAGTCATGGGCATCCCAAGAGGAGCCAAGGACAGGGAGGCTGGTTTGTGGGGACACCCAGAACTGGGTCAGAATAGAGCTGGTCCAAAGTTACTGCGGCCCCATAAATAGATACATATATTTTTTGCCATTGCTAGTAAAAGACCACAGGCTTTGCACTGACCTGACACCCTGGGTCAAGTGGTGGTGGCAACTCAAGTATGACAACCCCATATTTCTGCTAGAGGCCACTGGTGCCTTCACTGAAGGGATGCCGGCAGGGTGAGCACCACATCAGAGAAAAGGGAGATGCTAAGAGGGTTTTTTCTTGTAATAATAAATATTATTCATGAGCTTTTTCTGTATTAATTAAATAGTGAGAACGGTTTACAGTGGGTTCCCGTTTGCCCATACAGATATTTTTGCTCCAGTCCAGCCATGGGCTGGTTTGCATCACGAAGGATCATTTGGGGAAGGGGGGTTTGCAAGCAGAGACGTCCAAAATCAGATCAACGTGGGTGAACCTTTCTGGAGGTACATCCCCAGCCCTTCATATATCCGAGTTCCTTTCCCTCTGCTTTCTTTTAAGGCTCTGAAATGTTGTTTGCTCTGCACAATTGTGGGAGTTCAACGACTTGTGCCCTTCGGCAAGGTCCCACCTAAATAAAGATTTTCATCCCAGGGTGCCAAATAAACCCATGGGTCGTGCACTCCATGAGGTCTCTGTTTTCTTGTGCACAGTGATTATTTTTGTCAATGCAATTTAGGAATGAAGGTTTTTCCTGCCGGTTGCAAACACTTTGCTCCCCTGGATGGTCTCAGCTCTCCTGGGCTGATGCAGGAGCTGGAGTTCAAGTCACACTGTGTCTCCTGGGCTGCTGAGGGCCAGAGGCTGCAACACCTGCACAGCTCCCCAGCCCGACCACGGCTCTGCCGACATCGGCATCCTGCAACCTCCTTTACAAAGTGTCCCCCATCGCTGTGATGCCAGGGAAATGTGAAAATGGGGATGTTTCTCAGAAAAACACCTGTTTCTCAATGCTGTGGCCTGACCTGGAAATGCAGAAATGCTTTTTTTCTGGTACCAACAGTACCAACAGTACCAGTTGGTACATGGTACCAACTGTTTTGCTTAGATGGGAACATTTTATTTCTTTTCCGAGGGGATATTTTTCTTGCCTGATACAATACCTGAGTGTTTTTCTGCCAAAGTACATTTCGATACAGAACAGCATTTCAAGAGGAGAGGTTGGAAATGTCAGTTTGAAAATGGCACTTGTCTCATTGCCAACATTTACCAATTTTTTTTTTTTTTTGAGTAAAAAAGATTTTAGCTGTGGGGGGAATAAAAATCCCAAAAAATTCTGCTGGCCCCTCCTTGGGGTTTGGGATATTGTGGATAAGGGCAATCCTTCTTCTGCCTATGCTACCAGTAGCAATGAGGCAACCCTGCTAGGTCGGGGAAATCTGAGCTCAACTTTAGCAAATTGTGCAGCCACACTTTTAATAAAACCCACTGATTTCCTAACCGTCTGCCCCCAATCCCACTCCAGCATGAATCCTCATTTAGCCATTATGTTCCCACCAAAGGTGTTTGGAGGAGGAAAGGTAATTCCTAGTGCAATCCTTGAAGACGCAATGCAATGTACGCTCTTTAATGAAAACCTTTTTTGTCGATATGGGGCAGAAAAGCGACCATTTATAGAAGTCTTGGGCATGTGTATTGGGAACCTGTTATGGAGAGGGGAATGGAGGCTTGCACCCATGGATGCTCGCATTGCCAGGGCACAGAAGACCTCCCCAGGCAAAGGACTGGGCGCCCAAAATGCCAGCACCAAAATGTTGGGGAGAGCCCTGCCAAGGTAGTAGCTTGGGCAGCGATGATGTGGTCAACCAAGCCATGCCACACCTGAGAGGTGTCATTTTTAGACACCATGTTTCCTACCTGGTTGCAACACGACAGCAATTTTCTCGCTCCTGGGGAAGGCAAAGCCTTTTGCTTCTGCTGTTTCTTTGGCAAATTGCAAATATTAAAAAAGCCAGGAGAAACTTCCATGCTATCGGAGCTGCCGTGACCCTTCCCATGGCTGGCATGCTGTCCCATGATGTGCTCGGAGGAGATGCTATTGGATAGGACCCTCTCAGCTGGGTCCATGTGGCCACCAAAACCCAGAGGTTTACTCTCCCACTTGTTGGATTTCCACACCTCTCCGGGCAGCAGCTCCAAAGGCCTTGAAGACTTGGGGGTGGCATTTTGCAGGGAGAAGCCATATCTGGTTTTTGAACCCTGTTTTTTTCTTACCGTACAGTTTGGGATGGATCCTCTTCACCTGCCCAGGGAATGGTCAAGTGAAGGAGAAGGTGGGACTTGCTAAAGGACATGGGGAGTTTAGGGACGAGCTGAAAGGTTACCTGCTACGGGACGGGGCTCAACCTGCCTACCCGGTCCGACGTGGGGCAATGGAAATGCCCAGTTTTCTCTCTGCCCTTCTCAAAGGGTTACTGCTTCCAGGTGAATTATGAACTAGAATTATACACAGCAGCACTAACAAACTTTTATTTTACAAAAATAAACTCAGGGGTATGTGTCACCTGGTTTTGCACAGTAGTCTTACGGGGCGAGGGGTGCAGTCGCAAGCCTCTGGACATCTCTGCTTTCCTGAGCAATCAGATGTTTCCCTCTCCTCATACCACTTTATTTCCTGCTCATAATTACAGATTTCCATCATCTTTTTTCAAACATCCTTTACCTCTTCACATTAAAGGGTTTGTCTTGCTTGTCCAGTTTCTGAGATGTCCTGGAGTAACTTCTCGCAGCTCCATTTAATTTTTATTTAAACGTGGCGATTGCAGCTGATCACCTCCCTCTGACTGGTTTTCAAAAGCGAGGAAAGAGAAAACAAAGGGGACATTGGAGGTTGGCTACAGCTTGGGCTTCTTCTTGGACCTCCCATGCTCACAGTGGGAGGGCCCTGATACGATGGGATTGTCTATGCCAGGTCATGTCAAAACACGTCAGACATCCATAAAGCAAATGTCCTGATCCAAATCAGCTCCAGACACCATTTAGGGTCAGTCAGGAGAAATGGGCACATAGAGGACACATGGAACTAGCTTGGTTTTGGATGACTCCCACTCCCCAGTGGTTGCTTCTCCCCACAAAGGGAGTGCAGACACAGTGCTGGAGGTATCTACAGCTGCTTTGTGAAGCCTACACTATCTCTTAATGCTTATGCCCTGGGGTAAAGTGTTGGCTGGGAAGAGGTTCACTTATTACCTGGTGCTACTGGGACTGGATTTAGAGCACTGAGAGTGGCTTCCCCTCATGCAGTACATTGCAAAGAAGCAGGCCACCAAACGTGGGCACTGACCAGGCTAGGTGGGCCAACTGGTCTACCTTGACTGCCCTTATGGTCAACAAATAAGGATGGGCTCCCCAAGGAGTGATGCTAACCCTTGCGGTGGGGAGGTGGGGACAGAAGAGGGCACCCAGTTTGGGCTGGCTGCACTGGAGCAGCAAATCCCTCCTTCCTGGCCAGTCAATACATTCTCCTTCTCCCCAAAGAGCACTTCAGCTCTTTGGGGATGGCATTGCCTGTCCTAAACTGGACTTAGAGCAATGAATATTTGCACTGCCTTCTTCCTTGCAGAATAGGAAGCCTGGGCTGTGCAAAGTCCATTGCATATCAGAAAGATTCAAGTTGATGATAACAGCCTGTGCAATGGTCTTGATTTTATGCATAATAGGTGCCCATCTAAAAACATACCAACAAAATACAGACCACCTGAAAACTCTGAAATGAACCTGGAATTATAGATCTCCGCCTTTAATTTCTTCTCTTTTTTAACATGCCTTCAAAAACAGAGAAGATGAGCCTCACCAGAGTATTTTTTTAATGTATTGTGGAGAACTAATGCATTTCTCCTGATGCCCAGAGGGGTTGCCTCCACGCAGAGGAAAGGCTGAGAGAGGAGCATCTTTCTAGGAAGGCTGGTTTCAACCCCAGCTCATGCACTGCTCGGCAGCAGTAGTGTTTGCATTACTGTCAGGGCCGGCAGGAGCCCATTTCCCCTGTGGTGAGCTACCACACACCTGGAGATGAGGAAAAGCCATGCAGACTGACCCCATGAACCCTAGAGCTGGCAACGGGAGCCCAGCTGGGCTTCCAGGAGTGAGTTTTTCCCATTGAACCCCCGGATGAGGTGTGACCCCAATGCAGGGGTGTTGGGGACTGCTGATGAGCTGGTCTAGATTAGGGCAGCTCCACCAGCTTCAGGCTCTGCCCGGAGTCCTTGGTGACTGTAGATGCCAGAGAGGTGCTTGGATAGAGCAGTCCAGGGTTCAGAGGCCACTAGCCTCCAAATTCCTGCAAACCTCAGCCCTCAGAAGGCACAAGATGACTGAGCTCAAGGAGTGCAAACTATCAGGACCCAGTGCTGGTGCCCAGGTGGACCTTCCTTATCACCCACAGGTCCACCCACATCCCATCAGTGGATGTGGCTCAAGGGAGGAGATGTCCAGGAGCTCCTCGGAGGAGCTGGAGGGGACTGAAGCGAGCTGGGAGTGGGAGGGGAACAAGACCTTGCAAACTAGAAGCACTCCTCCAAGTCCTCTCTTGGTCCTGGTGGGGCACCATAAGGCCAATGGAGGTGGGCAGATCGTGGATGGGTTTTCCTGCTTTGACCTCACACTTGCTTGGAGGAAGAGGAGGGTTGGAGGGCTCAGGGGCTGCCTTACCTGCTGAGGTTTTGCACCGCCGCTCACATTTCCACTTGGTTTCGAAGCGGTTGCTGTTCCCTCGGCATCCTCCAAAGACGAAGGGCCGGCAGGCGTTTGCCTCTGCATGGTAATACCAAAGCAGGGCGTAGTGCTTCCTGCTTTGACCTCACACTTGCTTGGAGGAAGAGGAGGGTTGGAGGGCTCAGGGGCTGCCTTACCTGCTGAGGTTTTGCACCGCCGCTCACATTTCCACTTGGTTTCGAAGCGGTTGCTGTTCCCTCGGCATCCTCCAAAGACGAAGGGCCGGCAGGCGTTTGCCTCTGCATGGTAATACCAAAGCAGGGCGTAGTGCTGGCAGGACCCCTCGTCCATCGGCTGCAGGCAGGGGGCTGCAGGGAAACATGCCCCCACCACTTGGGTGTTGGACCCGGGTGGGAAAAGGCCACGTTCTGCTACCCCCATCCTCCCCTGGGCAAATGTGTGGGGCTGGTCCAGGGACTTCCACTGCCCCACAGTCAGCACTTTAGCCCAAAGCCATGGGGTTGGCAGAGCAAAGGGGGCAGCAAGGACCAAGGGTGGGCATCCGGCAGTGGATTTCCATAGTGTGACAAGCACAAGGCTCCTTGTCGCTCCATGGCACCATCTGCCCCTGTGGTGCCCATCATGGTGGTCTCTGACCTTTGCAAGGGGGCAATTAACCCCTGGGACCTGGGTGGGGCGTGTCTTTGCAGGGGTGGTTGCATTCGGGGTGTTGACTGGGGGACTCTCACTGTGCATTTTGCTGGTGGGACTGGACAACACAGGATCAGGATCGGGTGAAAACACCCTCCAGTTTGTTCACCACCAGCTCAACACCCTGGGGCAAAAGCAGCTGCTTTAAGCCAAGTCCAAAACTGAGTTTTGAGCCTCTGTTTGCTGGCACGTGTAACTCTTTCAGTGCTGCGTCCCCTCAATCTCAATGCCAAAAAGCACTTCCCACCCGGGAAGTGACTTCCCTAAATGTCACTTAATTCAGTGCATTTCACCTGGTAATTGACTGTGGGCTTCTCGACGCTTGTGCTGAGAGCGACCTGTTATCTGTTGCGCCCGGGGAGCTGCTGGGGAAGCAAATGGAAATGATACGTAACGAGGGCACGCAAACAAATTAGCCACCATTTAAATATAGATCATCGGAGCCTTACATGGCTTTCCACTGGCTAACAAGTTCTCTTAATAAATGTCACAGAGCAATTGGCGAGGGGAGGGAGAAACCGGCGGCAATAAAATTCTTAATGGTGTTAAACAACTCAGTCAGAAAGGTTGGGTGTTAGTCAGAGAAAATGGAAGTATTTGTGGTTGTTTGCAGGAGATAAATGTCAGGCCGTAGTTTTGTAAGTCTGCGAGCTTTGAAAAGCCAGGAGCGATTGTAATCTGGCAGTAATAACCCTCCGACTGCAAAATCCTGTTAACATTTAGAGCGCCTATCCGCACTCATCACTTAGCAGAGCGATTTATGAGCCCTCCTGCCTCAGACCCGGGCTTTAATGGGATTGTCGGCTGGCGACGGCTGCAGCTGTGATTCAATAACATGTGGTATGCCCCATCGATCTGAAACCGCCCAGATCCCAAATGCTGCCTTGATATAAAGTGAGTTTAAACCCAGATGGATGACGTCTTCGACGTACGACACAGACATCAGGAGAGCGCTTGGGGGTGGGCAGGAAGAAGGTGGGGATGGTTGGGGGCCAGTTCCAGGCTTAGCTGGATTTGGGGGATTTGTTCGGTCCTTAGCAAATTACACAGGGGAAAAATGGAGGTCATCATCAATGGATTTGACTTAAAACTCTTCCCAAAGCTCAGGGAAAGGGCCGTCACGGGTAATAAAGGTCTATGCAAATAAACTGTAGGTCAACAACTTGTATAGGCTGGGGTGTAAAAGTATATAACATTGGGTTGTCTTGCTCAGTATGAAAGTAAAATGTGATTTTTAAAAATTATTTCTAGAGTAGAAGGACTGGTTGGCCAACCCATGTGCTGATTGGCCAACGGGTGAGCTGACTGGCCAGGTTTTGTGCTGATTGGTCACTCAGCTGCTGCATGGCCAGTCTGCAGCAAGCTTTGCCCCATAGGCGTTGGGGGAACCAGAGTTTGGGCAGGAGCATTGTAGGGGCATGGGATGTTGCATTTTAGATGGTTCCCTTCTGCTGAGATGCATCTGGCTGTGCAAGTACCTATTTCTCTGAGCCGAAGCACTGATGCTGTCCCCCTGCCCGGGTCCATGGCAGCTCCATCAACGCTACACGAACCTCCTCCTCCTGGTGACAAAATCTGAGCAGCCACATCTTAATTTCTGACTTGCTGAATTGCAAGAAATGAGTCTGAATTCACCCTCCCTTTGAGTCCTGCCCTGTCTTGCAGTGTGTTTGAACTTTGAGCACCGAATGCAGAAAGCCCTCCACAAGCAAGCCCATAATCCCCTATTCCTCCCCACCAGCCCTTCTGCATCATGTTTTCACTCTCTGTCTCCCATAAATCAAGATTCAAAGCCAAGCCCTGATGAGGAAGTCAGAGGGTCCACAGGTGGCTGTGGCATGGATTTGAAGATGTGATGAACCTGGAGGAGGGCAGCTCATATGGGTCTTTCTGGGTGAAGGTCATTTCCAGGTTGCTGCTAAAATTTAGGGCAGAGCTACCCAGAAACCCCTCAAGCCAGTCACATCAAAGGCTGCTTGTTGCCTCCATCAGCATCCCAGGGGACCGGCAGGCCCACAGGGCCTGGAAAATCCACCCACGAGCCATTATCCCATGGGGGCAGGAGAAGGAGGATATCCGACTGGTAGCTCTTCTGTGCCAAGGGGACCATATGGCTCATCAGGTCTGCATAAAGCTGGACCAAGCATTACCTCATTGTAATGCTCACTACAGTGGTTCACGGTCAGAAGAAAGGGTAGATGATCTGAAATGCAGCTAAAACCGCCCCATCCTGTCCTGTCCCTGGAAAGATGGCAGTTCTCAGCCAGGTGTTAATGGATTTCCCTGTACCCACCGGGCTCATCTCCTGGCCTTTTCCACCAGGATACTGTGTCCCATTGCATCCCAAGGTGGTCCTGGAGCCTCCTGGGGAACCACCCCATCAGCTATGCCTACAGAGTGGGCCATGAACCTCCCTCCAGCCCACGGGCAAGTAGCAGGACATACTTCACCTGGCTGAGCAGCCTCCATCCCCAAAAATGATGGTTGCGCCTTGGCTGCCTAGCACTGCTCAAGATCCTACTGGGGAGCTTGATAATACCTAAAAGCATGGCCAATCTTGGATCACGCTGTTGCCCTGTCCGGTTGCCTGGTAGAGGTAGATGCAGTGTGAGGAGGTGCCACAAACCCACTGGTGTTTGTGTACAGGCAGGTCTGTATTGCATTTGTCCTGACCTTGGCCCTTCTCTCTCCCCCTCTCTCCTGGGCAACACAGAGGGACAGAAATAGAGCTGGTTGTTTTCCCATTAGCTGTAATCAGTAGCTTTACACATTAAAGGGTTCATGATGCCCTGGGCAGAAATAGTCTGTAATAGCTCGAGTGTTTGGCTCAGAGATGTAATTTCTGGCTGGTAGGAAGCTTTACTAGCAGTTGCAAAGGATATGGTGGGGAGAAGGGGACAAAATCAGCCTGAAAATGGCTGTCTCCTTCCAGCCTTTCAAAATGCATCCTTTTGGAGGTGGTGATCATCACTGAGGGCCTCACATATTTGGCTTTTCCTTCACCCACCATGCCTTCCACGGCCATCGGCTCACCTCATCTCTGAGCCTCTGACCAGCCCTCTTCAGCATGGGGCACGGCAGCGTGGGAGCCCTCATTGGAAATCCCATCACTGCCTTATTTCTGCCCAGTCCCAGGGAAGAGGATTTAGCGCTGGGTTCACGGGGTGCTCCGGAAGATACCAGCTGCCACGGTTGGAAAGATGGAAAGCATGAAGCCACACAGCTGCACTTACCTGCAATAAGTGAAGGTGGTTCCATGAAGGGCTTCACCGAAGTCACCAACGTGGTCATGCTCTGAGTTTGGTTAAGCATGTCTTCCTGGCTTTCACCATCCCTTCTGGTGTGTTCCCAAGGCTGAAAATACCCTTGGAGCTGCCTGTTGATTTCAGCTGTCTCCAGACCTATGGATTTAATTGTTGGGTCAGTGTGGATGAAATCTGGTGCCACAGTTTGAAAGCCACCATGCTTCGATAAGTGGTTGTAGGTCAACAAAATTACTGCCAGTGCACAACACAGTGTGGAAAACAAGTCACAACACAATGTTTCATTGGCCAAAGCCTACAGACCACTGGGATATGTGGTCAAGGTAGGAAACCTATTTCCAAATCATGTATACTCTAGAGAAGGGCAAGCAATCAAGGAGAGACTGTACTGTCTAGTGTCTTCTCAAGGAAGGGAGCAGGAGATATGCTAAACTTATTCAGAATAAAAGCTGTTTTTGAGGAAGTGGTTCCCAAGAAGTGTGCTGGGCTTCCTTGGGACCTCCGTGACTGCATGAACATGTTCCCAGTGTCAGTTGGGATGGAGTCATAATCAAAACTACATGGATAATTAAATGCTGCTGGATCAACATCTCCATGAGACAGGTCCCCTGAAGTACTAAGCACTGCCAGTCTTCTTAGGTGAGACTTGTTTACTGAAAGGCTGGGAATCCACAAAAAGAGTTAGCTAAGTTATGCACGTCTAGCTGTATGTCTGGATGCATGTGAGGCTGTGGCTCCATCATCCTTCATACTGGGTGTATCTGATGCTCAGTGCCTTGAGGGACAAGTGTGATCTGGACCAGGCTGGCAGGCACGTTAGCAGAGCAGATATTTTAGGAGTTCTGGTTTTATGGTGGGTGTACAGAGTTTGCAGGTAGAGGACAGTAGATCTAGTGGAGCCTGGCTGTGCAAAGTTAACCTGGAAACCTGTTTTGAAGCAATGTGGACCAGCAGACTGAATCCATCCCAGATTAACGCTCTGTGGTGTGTCCACCGTGGTTTTGAGTCAACTTTGCTTTCCTTTACTAACTTACTGTTTTAGCTAAATGATGCTCTGAGCATGATGGAGAGGACCACATGCTCCTGGCTGAAGGATCAACCAGCCAGATAACAGGCAGGACCCTTGGGTAACACCTGAGTCATGAAGGCAAAACACTTCAGCAAGGGTTGTCCTTTGCAGGAGCATGGAGGCTGCTGTGTCCAAGAGCATTCACTGTGTAGGATTCATTTTCTCTGATTATTTACATTACAGAAGCAAATGGAGGCTGGGGCAAGGGCAGGATCCCAGGTACGGGACCACGGATAGACATCAGGGAGAGAGATGATCTCTACCCTGACAGGTTTGCTTTCTAAACACAGAGCAGGAGGGGAAACAGAGCCTGGAAAGGACTATCTCATGTCTAGTGTAATTGGGAATATCCCACACCCAAGAGAGTTCCCAGCTACTCCAGGCATCTACGACTGTACTGGCTTCTTACATCCAGGGCAAGGCTGCCGCTTCTCTCTGTTTAGAAAGTCCTTGCTTTGTAAAATGCTCTGCTTTTGTACACTATGAAACAATGTCTTACGAAGGCTAAAAAAAAATATAATGTAACAGTTATGAAGGAAAAAATTAAAGCAAATCCATTCCTGGAGAACAAGTTCATTGCAATTTAGAGTCAAATTGCTGCTCTGAAGTTCCTTCTTTGTCTATTCCTGTTTAAAACATTAAAAACAAGCTGTGGTGAGGGTCCCTTTCCAGGTCTAATGATGGCCTTGAAATGTAGTAGGAAACGTTCAGGTTAGATGAGATGTTCCAGCACAACCGAGGCATCAAAGCTGGGTTGACAGATACGACACAGACCTATAAGACACCTGTGCCCATAGAAAGGATCCAGCAGGATACGTAATCTGGCTTATACATGAGCAACTGGATCAGATCCAGAGTTGGAAACTTTCCTCTAGGTGCCTTCATGTGAGCCGAGTGTCTTCAAAACCTACTATGGTCAGCTGAGATCCAGAACCTGGTTCAGGATCTCCCGCAGAAAAACTAGACCCTGAATCACTTGCCCACATGTAGGCAAAGACATGGAGGAACCAAGTCCTCCCTGAAGCACAGAGGATGAACCCCTGACTGAATGTGGGGATCTACCTTTGAGTTGGCAGATTGGCCCTCCAGACTCCATGGACCATATGGATTAGATCTCCACAACGGGAGTTTAAATAATGAATAGACACCTGCACGGGAGGTAGGCACCTCACTGGAGATTATCATGTTGATGGTTTGGGATGGTGGAGCAACAGGATCTGTTTCGTGGGCAGGGAGAGGTGTTCCTGTGGGTGCAGCTTTTAAAGCTGGGTGTCAGGAATAGCTTTGATCCTGTTTTGCAGCAGAGGGTGGAAGCAGGAGACCTCTTGGTGTCCCTCTCAACCCTATTTTCTCAGATTCCTCTCAAGAAATACCACCCCCAGAGCCAGGGTCTAAAAGCAGTCGGTGATCCAGGGTCATTTTCTGCACTGAATCACAGAAAAAAGCACTTATTCTTAACAACATCTTTTCACTTGCAGTTTCAGGCTGTTTTGGGGCAAGAGGAACATCCTTTACTCTACTGCATGAATTCACATGCATTTCTTTGTAGATATTAGCAGCCTTACCCCTTTCCAAGGGCATCCTTCTCAACTCACCTCCACAATCTGCAAACGTAAGACAGACAGGGCATAGTTTGTTTGCTACTTCTTTTTTCCCTATGTAAATAAGATTTTTCAACAAAATCATTATTTTTACAGGCAGCACATGCTTTCATGGACTATTTTTCATTCTTTCCCCCCCCCCCCTCTTCAAAGCATTCAAATGCCCCCTAACATCTCTAGGCAGAAACGATTGTGACTCCAGCTTAATGGCTAAAGCATCTTGGCAAATGGTGGTGAACCCAAACCCTCCTTGGCCATAGGCAGACCCCAGGGAGTGGGGCAGGAAGGGGGCAGCGCTCTGCTGGCCCTCAGGTAGCTGGATCTCTGCAGGACAAGGAAAGCAAGATCCCCAAAACCTGACACCCTTGTGGTGTTGGGATTCTGGGGTAAAACCATCCCCAAACGCGGTGGGTTTTGTTACTGTTGTGGCAGCGGTTGGGAGTTATTGACTGCCGGAGAGGAGAGGTCTGTGTGTCAAGAAGTGCCACGAAGTAGACAGGAATTAAAAGGTTGTTATTGGGCAAAATGCAGCTCCAGACTTTCCCCCGCGACCCAGCGCCTTTCACCAATCAGCGGGGAAATGGAGATGACCAGGGAGGAAAGCTTTGCTGACAAAACCACGGGGGAAGAAATGGGAAGAGAGAGGGTTTAAAAGGGAAAAAATTAAGAGTTTGAGTAGGAGGTCAGGACTATGGCAGAGACCTCACGGCCCAGAAGCCCGCACTTGTCTCCAAGCGTGGAGAGGCGACGCGTCTCCACTTGCTGCTAATGGGGTGATATTTGCTCTGCCGAGCCAGCATGTGCCGGCACTCAAATTGCTCCAATTTAGTTGCTGGTAGGTGTCAGAGCAGTGGCCCCGAGCGCAGCTCGCTGGCCGACTTACCGCATCTGCCTCTCATTTCGTTCCTGACCACCTCCTTTACCTCTTCCTCCTGTGCCACGGGGGGAAACCAGAAGCTAGTGATTTTCTAGCCCAGCACCATCTCCCTCCACTCTGTGCCCCATCCCAACTCTGCTTGCCCCACCGGAGGTTGCCTCTGGTGAAACCACCTCAGCTTGGGTATGGCCGAGATCAGAGACATACATTTGGTGTCACAGGGACCTCGGTTCAAGATTTGTGGCTCATCAGGGAAATGATTCCCTTTGCAATTTTATGGCCATCCTGTAGCCAGTTCCTCTTGCCACAAGGAGCTGGGATCCCCAGCCCAACATAAGGACAATGGCACACCTCAAGCCTGGGTTGGCTTTCCATGAGTGTCTCCACCCTTCGGCACTGTCCCTGAAGCCAGGGTCTCTCAGATGTCCCTTACCTCTGAGAAGCTTCATCAACCCACCTGCATCCATGCAAAGGGGCTGCTCAAATCATACTGCAGGCTTGACCCATGGAGATGGGCTGTAGCACTAGATTTAGCTGAGATGTAGCTGCACCTCATTTTGTTCTTCTCCTTTGTCTTTTTACCAGCTAATGATGTTCCCCACAGAGCGAGACACCTGGTCTCATGGATTTTAAGTCTATCCCTCGCCCTTGGGGCAGCCAACTGCCACTGCTTCAGTTGAGCATCTTCCATGTCCAATAGCTGGTGTCCTACTGCACTTCACGTGGTCACTATCTCTTACCCCTAATAGGGATGATAAATTTTGGGGCACTTACTATGCAGGGAGCTGGGCTCTTCAGCAGCCCACATATAGGGCACCTTGCCCGTAACACCCATGCTAAAACTAATCCTGCCTGGCCTCCGCACACTGGAAAGATGAAAGTGCCACATTTTATCAGTCAAGTGGCACAAAACGCATTTGCTTAGGCAACACGATGGAGACCCTAATGTTAGGGGAACTGCAACAGGGATTTTACCCTGACCCATGTGGGTCAACCACTCCTTCTTCTTCAGGATTTATAAACCCAGAGCAGCAGCTTTTGCAGTAATGCCAGCTCCCGAATCTTTGAAAATGGGGCACATTGCTCTCTCCTGTTCTTTCTTTGTATTTGATCAGCCCTGTGGCATTGGCACTGATCCTATCTGCCAAGCACGAGTTTGAAGCATCACGGGGAGGATGGGAGAGGGGAAATGTGCCTTGGGCTTTGGGTTGTTGTTTGGGCTTAGCATTGCACAGCCCAGCACTGCTCCCACCTCAGCCTGTGCACATCTGATGTCTCTGGGTAATGGCCAACACTCTCATTTCCCGGATATTCTCTGAATGAATCTGTTTCTCAGCATTTCCTTCCTCCCCTACACCTCTTAGGGGCAGTTTGCCCTATTTTCTCTATTCAGGCCTGTGTAATAGGATGTGATCTTGGGCTAAAGTACTCACAGAAAGACCAGGATCTCCCTTTTCTCCTTTCTGGCCAGCTGGACCATTTTCACCCTGTTAAAAACACTTAAGTCATTACAAAAGCTCCATAGATTGACCATTAAATGCCCCAAGAATAAGTGCACCTTAGAGAGGAAAGGATGCGCTAGGAAGGGAGATGGGGGAAAAGGCTCACATGTTTTTTGATAAATTTTCGGGAATATTTTCGAGTGAGTAGCTCACTGAGCAGAAAGGAACAGACTCATCCACGTGCAAGGAAGCAAGAACAAAACTGTGTATCAGAGAGCTGGGTGCAGACTCCCAGATTTTTTGGGAGCTCTGCTCTATCCAAACAATAAGGTTGTTACCAGCTACAATTTACGTCAGGTTTCTTTGCAGTTTGTAAGGGACCACAAAGGTTGAGGTTGAGGTGTGGAGAGGATCTGGGCTCCAGAGAACCTCTGGGAACCAGATCAGGCAGAATATTGCAACTGGGATTGCAGCCCCAGTGCTGAAAAGATGAAACACAGGGAAATGCTGAAGTTTGCCAACAGGGCTTTCTGCCTCCTAGGAGAAAATACCTTGAAAATTTTTCTGCTCAGAACTGGATTTGTTGATTAAAAATACTTAAAAGTATTAAAGGAAAAGGACCACAGGAAGAATGATCTAAATTAAATCTGCGATGGTCATTTTTCTCAATCCATGCTCACTTACAGGGGCTGGAGCACGAGGAGAAATCGCATTACCCTCCACCAACACATGGAGCTAATGCAATGCCACCTCCTAACGCAACAAGCCCTTGAGTCAGTGTTGGCAGGACCTGCAGCGTGTAGGGCGCAATCCAGAACATGGGTTGTAGGTTGGGATCTTGAGATGAAGCTTATGCTCTGATGTACATTGAAAGGTTGAGCATTACTCAACTGAAGTAACGTACTGAAGTACTGTACCGACTATTGGTTTGCACCAATGTGCACCAAGCACAGTTGACGGTGTGGCCCAAAAATGATGTTTTCCCAAAGATGTCTGGCCCAAAAAATGATGTGTTCCCAAAGAAGTCTTATATAAAACAACTGGCAGCCTACAGGGCTTACAGCAGTTGTCCCAGCTGGAGATACCTTCAGGCAGAAGTGTAGGCAGCATTGCCCGTGTCCAATGCCTGGTGCTTAGGGGTAAAATGCTCTCGGTGCTTTTGTTGTTGCAAAATTTGGACAGCTGAGAAATGCAACCTAGAACAGCTAGGGGTCATCCAGCCCCAGTGCAGAGCTCTGCACTGCTGCAGGGTGGTGAGGAACCTCACTGGGAGGTGAGGCTGGTTCATCCCCATACTGACCATTTCTCCTTTTCGCCCATCCACGCCGGGGGGTCCCCTGAGGCAGAGCTGAGGTCTCCCTCTTTTCCCTCGTGGACCCTAGAGAGGAAGAGGAGAGCTCAGTTAGCAGTGCCCAAGCACCCTCCAGAGATATCCCATGCCACCGGTTGGGGTTTCCCATCTAAGGCCCAACCTGGGCATCAGTAGGAGAAGATACTCAGAGCTCTCTGGATTTCAGACACTCCCCAGACAGATCAGACGTGATGGGTCAGAGCCTTGGGCTTTGCCCCTTCTGCCCTGGGCAACCATGAGGCGTTTCCTATGGTCCCTGCCTGCAGAAAGGATGGATGCTGCAGGGGCGGAAGGCAGTGTTCTCTCTCTCTGACACTGTTTGTCCCAGCACTAATTTAAGAAACAGAGTCTCAGCAGGAGGAGAAGGGTTTGCAGCCCAGGGTAATACCCTCCCACATTAGAAATGAAGGTGGCCTCACTGCTGCAGTTCAGACCCAGGGACTTTCTCTTTTAATTTAGGGAAAAGACAAATAGCGGTGTGGATGTAGAAAGTGGCATCTCACAGTCTCTCTTTAATCAGCGTCCAAACAAAAGCCATTCATTATCTCATACACGGCTTTCTGAGCATGCAGTGCTTGTAACTGCTAATGTAAAAACTTCCAGCCTTTTTAAACATACATGAGGGGATCTCGTACTTTCAGCTCTTTCCTCCCTTCTGTGATTCTTTAATTACATTTTTCATTGCAAGGTACAGCCTGGGGAGCAAGGGAAAGAAGAATAATGTTGCTGCTACGGTCTGAAGCTCGATCTAGTCCATTTTTTATTGTTCTGGAAGGGTCTTTCTACACCTGCACCCCTTTAGGGGAAGGCTCGGGGGCAGTCCTTCCTATAATCACCCTGTCAGAGGTGAAGCTGTAGGTATAGGCTGCTGAAAAATGCTGGAGGCCCAGAGCATCTTCTGTGCCCTTGTACCATGGAGCAGATTGCTCTAAATCAAGCTTTTATTTGATGACATATCAGGACACACTACAGAAGTTCAATCTGACCGTCAGTGCAACGTGGACCTTACTGCACCACCTGCATTTTTCCTTCCTTAATCACTTCTTCCCTGAGACTTAACACCCAGTGTTGGCTATTTTTTGTTTTGCGGCTCCAAAGAGCAGGGTACAGACTTTCCCAACACGTGAAGCTCTTCCTCTGTATGGGAGAAAACCAGGTTAAGAATCACTAAAGCCTACATAGACACCTTTATACCACCCAAGTCAGAAGTCCTGAAAGGGGCTCTAGGACAGGGAGATATTTGAGACCCAGGAGAGCTGATGTAATGAGGTCCAGACTCATTCAGACTTTCACATCAAATTGGGTCTGAATTGTCCCAGCTTCTGTCCTCAAAAGCCAAAGCCATTTTCACCAGTGTATCTTTACCAGCACAGTCCTGAACTGTGAGATGCAGCTACACATCAGCTAAACTCTCCATGCTGTTGAATGTGCTTCTCACTTGGTGAAGGATAATCACTGGTGATTGGAGTTTGGGTTATTTGGCTGAAATAATTCGGTAGGGCATGGCAGATTAAAGAAGAAAATCCTGCCAGGGTCTCTACCTCCTTTCCTTGTTTTCAGATCAGCAGCGCAATCTACTTCCCATCTCACAGAAAACTCAAGTATTTTACAAACCACGTGTGCGTATGTGTGTACATGCATTCTCTACACATATATATATCCCTGAGACAGCTGATGGGAAACAGTTGGTCTTTCAGGTAGTTACCCAACTTCAGTTGGCTAGTTACCCAACTTCAGCTTTTCTTTTCCTCTTGATTCTTTCATGTTAATTTATGTATTCTCTTGTCCAAGCCTGAAACTCAGCCAGTCCCACCAGCACAACTGAGAAGGGTATTTTCATTTCCAGTCCTCATTCACCTGAAAAGTTCTTTGTTACATAATGGATGCTGTCTAAGGGCGAGTGATTAGCATTAATCTCTAGCATCGTCTCTCCACATTGTGTTGGCAGCAGCAAGACACTCTTCATTACCATAGAATCTGGGGGCAGCATGTCCCTGCTCATAAACAGTATTAGCATGTCTCATTTCCAAGTCTTTTTGTTACATTTCAAAAGGTGCCCAGCATGTCTTGCATGCAAAGACACTTATTAAGTATGGCCCACAAATGGGGTCTGAAAGCCACCAGCTCCTTCCAAAACCAAATCCTGCTCCCCAGATAATTAGCAACAGGAGGGGTGCACTTGATGTCCTGCTAACTTTAAATTATCAGCCTTCCGTTCTTCACTGAGAGGTCACATCTTACACCGCAGATAGGAAAAGAAGAGAGAAAAGGGGAAAAAAAAATCTCCAGTGATAAATGCACCAAGAGATGAAGTTGACCAAGATCCCACAGAAAGACATCAGACTTTGCAGCCATCCTCTCTCAACATGAAAGACCTCAGGTGCCAGTTTATAGAAGGGGGTTGTATGTGTACATGGTGACATGTGGTGACACATCTGGGGTGCTATGTCACCTGAGGATGTGAGGTGCAACCACTTGGGGGGCAGTTGGGGAAGAGACTTTTAGCAGAGCTCCCCTGCAAATCCGTGAGGTCTAGGGCAGCATCGTACCTTCTCCTGCTCTTGGAGGAGCATGACTGGGGATGAATCCTCACTAGGGCTGCCTCAGCATAAGGCTTTCTAGAGAGTGGAGGAGCCGTGATGGTGTTTGCCTATGTGGGAGGTCCAGGCCTGGCTGCAAGGGAGTGGGAGGAGAGGATTTTTCCTTACTGATGTATGATATGACTAAAATGGTAAGGAGAAAACTAGATCTCCTGGAAGCCAGCTTATTAGAGTTTATCATTCATGCCCTCCTCACACCAGATCTCACCAGGGTCTAGGACATGCTATGGACCACTTGCTGCTCACCTGTGGCCCTGGTTCACCCTGTGGCCCTTGAGGTCCATCTGGTCCAGCAACACCAGTCTTCCCAGGCCATCCCATTTGTCCTTTGAAGCCTCCCAAGCCAGGAACTCCCTTGGCCCCCTGAGAATCACCAACAGAGAGCAGTTCAGAGCTTTTATCAAGCACAAATGGTTTTAGAGATGGGCCAGTCAAATGTTACCCAAACACTTTCATGGCATTGGCAGTAAGAATGGCAGGAGAATCTTTACATCCTGCTGTTGTGCTATTTACAGAGCATCAGTAGGATGGTAGAGACCACTTCAGCTTTGTTCTCCACCTTCACTTGTCCAGAAGGCATCTCACTGCTTGGTGACATGGACGTCCCCCTCTCTAGGACGATGCCTGATAGTTTCTAATGCCCAACTCTCCCTGTATATGTAAGCAGAGTCCTTTAGTCTGTAACCCTGGAAAAACCAGTGACTCCTGAGGAGAAAAAAGGGAGTTACCAAGAGCTGGCCTATAAATTTCCTACTCATCTGCACCATTGAACTTTCTCCTGGAGCTGTTGTGAACAGAAAAGGCTCCCATAAAACACAGCAGAAGGAAAGACCTGCAGTCAGCCCAACACCCAACCTTCAGCAGTGGCTGAAAGCAGATGTTTGTGGGAGAGGAGAAGAACAGGAGAGGAAGGGAGTGATATTTCCCTCGAAATAATCTCCCAGCCTCCAACCATTCGCAGCTCAGAGACTTAGTGAGCCAGAGGTGTTGCTTGACAAGAGAAGAACCCTTAGTGTTTGACACAGATGACCATCAGGGGATGAGGACCAGAAGAGTTGTTATCAATAAAAGCAACAAATTCTTTAAGATCCCAAATCAGCTGGAGACCAGATGGTGGAGCTGAATGCGAGAAGGGCCTGAGGGCCCGGAAAATGCCAAAGGACTTGATGGAGGCTGCTGGGATTATTGTGTGGTTTTGTTTTTTTTTTTTTCAAAACAGTTACTGTTTTAACAGAAACCCCATATTTTCCCTCCATGGAAAGGTGCAAATTTTAGACTTGTTCTTTTGGGGAAGAAAATGGAAAATTAAGCAAAGCGGAGAAGGAAGATTGGTGGGGAGTGATCAAGGTGGGGACTCCTCAGGAAGCTGAGCAGAGCCTCGGAGCAGGTCTGCTTGGAGACCTTTCCCACTCCCATGGCCAATGTGCCCTGGAGGCAGCAGCGTTATCCACTTTTTCTGCCCCACAGCATCCCAGGCACCCTTTACCCTCGGCAAGGTGGTGTTGAATAAACCCTGACAATTAATCCCACTTCAGGAGTTTGGATGGCTTTTCCTCATACTAAGCAGGCATCCTCCTGGGATTTTGTACATCGGCAGAGGGTGAATTTAAGGAGACCTCCCTCTCCTGCCCTTTCCAACTGCAGTCCCAGCCTTAATGCTCCAGACAGTTGACATTTGCCCACTGGAAAGGGTACCTATGATGTAGAAAGTGTATAATTTTGTTAACTCAACCTGATGGATGTGGGATTTATTCTTTTACAAATGGCAGCTCAATGCAGTCTGGCAAGTACTAACCTTTTCTCCTTTCTCCCCAGGAATCCCCGAGGCACCATTGTCTCCTGATGCTCCCTGTTCACCCTGGAGGGAGCCAAGATAAAATCATGTCCGATGTGGATTTGGCAAGGTTGCAATTTGCTGAATGAGCCATCTCTTCTTCAGATTACAATATCATTTACTGAGTGTAACCCAGCAGGGTCTCTCAGCCTGCACATTGGTGATACTCAAGGAGACTGGAAGAAATTTCATTAAAAAGCCCCATTACGTGACACATGCAATAGTGCCTGTGGAGCATCAGGGCTGGGGTGGATGAACCCGGTTAAGTCTTGCAGAGGCGAGAAGAGGTCCCTACCCCAGATGTCCAAGCATCTTAGAATAGAATCATAGGATAGTTTGGGTTGGAAAGGACCTTTAAAGGTCACCTAATCCAACCCCGCCGTGGGCAGGGACATGTTCCACTAGATCAGGTTGCTCAGAGCCCCGTCCAACCTGACCTTGAATGTTCCCAGGGATGGGGCATCTACCACCTCTCTGGGCAACACGTGCCAGGGTTTCACCACCCTCATTGTAAAAGATTTCTTCCTTATAGCTAGTCTAAATTTACCCTCTTTTAGTTTCAAACCCTTCCCCCTTGTCCTGTCACAACAGGTCCTGTTAAAAAGTTTGTCTTATAAGCCCCTTTAAGTACTGAAAGGCTGCAATAAGGTCTCCCCAGAGCCTTCCCTTCTCCAGGCTGAACAACCCCAACTCTCTCAGCCTTTCTTCATAGGAGAGTCTTCACCCAGGTCTATGCTGGTTTATAGGAATAGATTCAGAATAATCCCATTTGTGCCCTTTGAAAGAAAGAATCCTGTTGCAGAGGTGGATTTGCAGCATCTGCAAAGCTTTTAGAAACCTCCTACTTGTAAGCAGATGCATAATTTAGATATTCACCTTCGGTCCATACGGTCCATCTGATCCTGGGATTCCTGGTTTTCCAGGACTGCCAATTTCTCCCTGTGGAGGAAAAAGCAGTGGATGGGCTATAAGCTCACACAACCCCTAAAATATTCGGAAAACTGGCTTCGAAATGGCAAGGTAAGTGGTACTTGAGGGGGAACATGATGACGCTCCTGGTAACAGAAAGACTAAGTATAGGCAAAGTCCTACTTCACACCAGTATAAATTTTAGACTGCCCTGACTCGAAGCCCACCTACATGAAAGTAGGTGGGAAATTCACTGAACAGTACTTCATTTACCCAATAGGCCAGGCTGATGAAGGGCAAATATTAATAACAACAACAATAACAATAACAACATATCCCATTGGCTCAGCTATCAAAGCTCCCTTACTTCTTATCAAGCTTTTCAAAACCCTTCATAAAAAGACCATTAAGGGTCATTATCCCTGTTTATAGAGGAAGGACCAATGCGCTGACAATTGGAGCGATGTGCCCAGCAGTAATTGCTAATTGAGTCCAGGCAGTTGCTAAGCCACAGACCAGAAAGGGATTTGGGCAGAGTCTGTAGTTTTTTTTTTTTACCCCAGATTATCAAAAAGTTCCCTGCAAGCCTTAAAACCTCCCCGTCCGTGGCTCCCTCTGCATGGCCATGTCCCCCTGTGCTGCAGCCTGCAGTCCTGTGCCACCGAGAGGGACTTCTCCTGCCAGAGTTATGGTGGCTTCTTCATGCATGATGCTATCCGAGGGATGAGTGGGAAACTGCTGGAGATGGGGCAGCTAGAGCAGAACGGAAAGCTGGGCTGAGCTCACCTTGACGCCCTCGGCTCCGGGAGCACCGATGCGTCCTGGGAGCCCTCGTAAGCCCTGAGGATAAAGCAAATCATGGGCATCGATGATAAATCAAGGTGAGGGCAGGAGGGAAGAACGCTGTAGGTGCACAGGGCTAGCCCTGATGTAGTGCTACAAGCTCTTCCTTTGCCCGCAGCATCTTTCCCCATCAGCCCCACTACAGCCTGGAGCTTGAGTTCTCTTCTCTGTTTGCCCCAAACTTTATTTCACAGAATCATGGAGTGTTTCAGGTAGGAAGGGAACTCTGGAGATCATCTTGTCCAACTCACCTGCCCAAGGCCCAAGCAGGGCCACCTAAAGCTGGTTGACCAGGACCACGTCCAGACAGCTTTTGAATATCTCCGAGGATGGAGATTTCACAGGATCTCACCCATTTCCTACCTTTGTTCCTTTCCGCCCAGTGTCGCCAGTGGTCCCAGGATCACCTTTCCCTCCCTGCATAAAAAAAATAGACAAACATATCATGCACAGCCTGAAAGGTTAAGAATACAGCCCTGGTGATAGCATCACCTTGCATTTATATTGTGCTTTTAACCATCAGAGGCTCCTTGAAAATTTGCAGATCATGGTCACCTTGCTGCTAGAAATGCAGCCAGCTCTGGGGTGGGACAGGGACCAACCCTGCAGAAGATGGGTGACTGTGACAGGGCTGCTAGTGAAGTGGGACAAAATGCTGTGATGAGTCGCCACAGGGTCTGTAGCTTACGCTGGGCAATGTTTGGAAAATGACCCTTGAGGACCTGTGTAGGAGTGAATGTTACTGAGGTTTGGGAGCTAATGGAGCGGCAATAATCATGAGGACTTGCACTGTGGAGACGTTAGATGGTCTCCCTCAGCTCTTGCGTTGATCACTGCCCCCAGAAATTGAGTCCGTCATTCAAAGTCTGGATCCTTCAGGCACTACCTGAACAATTTAGAGGATGTTCATTAATTTCAGTGAGGTCTTCCTTTCCTGCTCCCTCCCAAAATCTTCTACTGTTTTTTTTTTTCTCTCATGGGAAAACAAAAGAGAAAAAACACCAGCAGATTTCAGCTTATTTCCAGAAAGTAAAGTGAAGACATGTTCCCACTGAGCATCACTTTGGAGATGCGTTTTCAGTAATAAGGGGCCAAAGTCCCATCCATGTGCAGGAACTTATTTGGGGGCAAGGAAGGCATCCTGTCATGGCAGAGAACAAGCTCATCCCAGGAAAGAGAGGTTCATAAGGGCTTTAGCAAAGGATTGCTTTGTTCCCTGCTCTCTCCATCAGGCAGGTCAGCATCGAGGAGAACTGGACTTGGTACATGAAGGAACTTGAAATTTGGGCCTTGGTAAGTAACAAAGGAGAACTCATGATGAAAAACATGGGAAAACTTAGAAGTCTGTCGCTTGAGACATGGACAGATTCTCTGCTGGCATCCAGAGACTGGCACCTCCTAAAAATCAGGCCGGAATGTGCATTAAAGACTTCTCCAGAAGGTTTAGGAAGTGATTTCATCTCTCTTTTAAAGACTCACCTTGAGCAAGAACCTGCCTTCAGCAATGAGGCACGCAGGGTGTGGGAGCAGAAATGAACTTAGGGTTGAGAAAGGCAGAGAGCCTCTTTCCACCTGCCAAACAAACCGTGTCCTTTCCCACTACTCACCGCCTTCCCCTTCTGCCCCTGAAGACCTCTGTCGCCTTTGGCTCCCTTGTTTCCGTTCTTCCCATCGAGACCTGCCGCACCCTGCCAGAAAGAGGAGAAAAATGAATTTCTGCGTCGGCTCTTGCAGGGAGGTGGCTGAAGACAGTCATCAGGATGGAAACTCAATAGTAAGAGCCTGGAATAGTAAGAGGTCAGAAGCTACCCTAATACTAGCACCGAGACCTAAGGCTGGGATTTAGGACACATTCCTCATCGGCTTGCAAGCCGCTAGCAAATGCAACCTGTGAGTTGATTTATTTATAATTACAGCTTGGGAAATAGAAGCATACGGCAGCTAAAGAGTAGTCCTGGGCCAAGAACATTGAGGTGGTGATGGCTGTGGTTGAAAATAAGAGCAAGGGCATTAAGCAGGCAGCATCACACTGCGAATGACTTAGAGGGATGGAGACAACCCTGGGCACTGGGTCTGCAGCTTCAGATCTAGTCAGTCAAGGAAAGCAGTGCTGGGTGGAATTTGGTTTGGTGAATGAGTGGATCCAGGCACGGGACTGCTCACAGCTGCAGTTCAGAGAAGATCTCTCATCTGGGGATCTGACAGCCAAAAGAGAGATCCTCATCCAGCCCAGACTTGTGGGCAATGCTGGACGGAGGTGCTCCTCCAAGAAGACACCTTTTTGCCACAGTTTGGAGGTTCTCAGCTTGTGGAGATACTTTGCAGCTCAGCTCAGGGTGGGACATCGGAGCCACCTCCAGCATCAGGGCCAATTTGTGTGGGTTCTCCCACTGTTTCAACAGCAAACTAAAAGTTCCCAGAAATGCCTTTTTTTTTTTTTTTTTTTTTTTTGCGGGGCTGCCACAGTCTACTCATCCATTCTGGCCAATTTCGACTGCAGTTCAGAACCTGTATGTGAGATGAAATCAGATTTATCCCCACTTGAGACACTGATTGCACAGGGCTCAGCTCACTCAGAAGAGAATGAATTGGCTGTTTAAGCAGATTGGGAGATGAACAAGTGGCTTTCTCTACTTGGAATTAATTTGCAGTAGGTTGTTGAAAGGAAACACATTTATTAAAAAAAAAAAAAATTGGCCACCAGATTTGTATGCCAAGCAGACTCATCACCTCTCCAATTATTCCTCCTCTCAGTGACGAACGGACACTTCAAACACGATCACGGTCACAAGCAAACCTCCCAGAGACACACGGGTGGGACGGTGCTGCGAGGACAGACCCTTTACCTTTTCATTCCCAGATATAAAAATTCAGCTCCTCCTCCGGGAAACATCTCGCTTCTTCAAACCCCTCCCCAGGCCTCAACATATTTTACATTTCAGAGTAAGGAGTATTTGAGAGCTGACCAGGTGCTCCTCCATGGCTCACGTCTGGATCAGGTAAAGTCCACGTTCCTCAAACACTGCCTACACTATCAGACACAAACATCTCGTGCAAGCTCGTTATTTACTGGTAACTATTTATTGACACGATCAATGTAAAGTTCCATCTGAGGCAGTAAATGGACCATAAAAAAACCATCTAACTAGAGTTTCTCTGTTTGCTAGGACAGATTGCTTGCTTGGAGGGTAATAAACCTTTTGGTTTGATGGCTAGATCTCACAAGCCCAGTATACCTTCAAGTGCCTGGTGTTTTTGAGATAACTTTGAACTGGGTACAGATCCATCTGGCCAGGGATTTACACACCTGTATCCAAGGGGATGGGCTAAAAAGCTTATTCTTGAGCACTGCCTGATCCTGAAGGAACCTGACACTAGTTAGAGATTTCCCAATTAGCTTTAATATGTCTCTTAGTTGTCCCTAGCGTCTCCTGTGTCAAGGAGAGACCTTTCCTTGTTTTCCTGTGCTTCCCCACCTGCCCATGTCCAACTCTCATCTCTTCCGTCTGCCTTAGATCATGAGATGCTTCTTGCCTCCTCTTGACCTGAAAGGAGCCCAAATGGCTTTAGGAAGAGTTAAACTCACAATATGTGCTTGTAGGCTGGAAGGTAGCTGGCTTTAAGCCATGCCTACTCGGTCCAGTAAACACCGAAGGTGGACTCCTACTCATCATGGGCTGAAGAGACTTTGTCATATGGACTAGAAGGTTTATAATAAGGCTTGGACATGACAGCAGGTCTGTCCCTGCTTCAGCTGGGGAGGTAAGCAGGTCAGAGAGGTGATGCTTTTCAAGGCCATCTGCACCCCAGACAAGAAAAAGATGGAATAGGAATTAAAAAAAAAAGAGAGGAAGAGGAAAACGTTTGAGCACTAGGCAAGGGAAAGAAGCTGAATGGAAATTTGTTCCCTCAGATTTACATTCCGTGTTCTGTCAGGCAAATAAAGGCTGAGCAATAAAAGCTAGCAAAGTGGCAGTTTAAAGGCAATTACTGGTGGAGTACTGGAAATGGCTCTTGCTATTTGGTTCTGTTAATAAAGTGTTGCTGGAACAGGCTTCATTTAACACCAGGTACCACGAAGGCACAGCAACGCAGAGGCTTAGTCATAAGTCCTGAGCGCTGGCTGTGACGCAAAGACGTCTTTGAGCAGCCAAGGATCTCTGCTTCCAGACACAAATTCCTGCAAAGCTTTGGGCTGGAGCCAGGGAGGAGCCTGCCTTGTCTCCAGGCTTATTGTTTACACTCAGATGAACGAGCTGGGGAATTAGCTGGGTGACCCTGGGTAAGTGTGAAACCCATCAGCAGAAATGTTGCCCCAACGGCATGCCCCAAAAGGATCGATCTGTTCGATCTGTTTTATGGCCTCAAGTTGCGCCAAGGGAGGTTTAGATTGGACATTAGGAAAAATGTCTTTACTGAAAGAGTGGCATTGGAACAGGCTGCCCAGGGAAGTGGTGGAGTCACCATCCCTGCAGGTATTTAAAGGACGTGTAGATGACGCGCTTAGGGACATGGTTTAGTGGGCATGGTAGTGTTGGGTTGAGGGTTGGACTCGATGATCTTAGAGGTCTTTTCCAACCTTAATGATTCTATGATTCTATGATTCTATGATTCCATGAAGACACACATCAAAGGTCTAATGCATTTCCAAACCATGGCATAGGCTGCAACCTCTGTCAAAAGGTTTCCCACCTCCTGGCCTTCGGTGCTCGATATTTGACGGGATGATGCATATGAAGTAGCTGGGAGTCTCAACCTCAGAGTTTCGTCTGTGTTTATATCCCTTCCCTGCTGTGTCTTTTGTCTAGACTGTCCTGGCAACAATTATTTGCTGCAGTCCTGAACACCCTCCCCAAAAAATTCTTTCTTGATGTGGGAGCTGCCACTCACCCTCACAGCCATAATGAGCATTCATTCTCAGGAACTACATCTCAGAGATGGGTCAGCCTGATACCCTGCTGCAAAGCCTCCAAGGTATCCCGGGCAGAGATTTCCATCTGTGGCCAGATCTGGCTGACTAACTTCCCCTTGACCAGTCTGGACTCATCAGAAGTGCTCAGGACAATCAAGACACCCACCCAAGGCAAGAACTTCTTAGGAGATGGCTTTTTCCACTCTGAGTGGCCAGGGGCACCTCTTGTCAAGCCCAGGGCGGATCCTCATACCCCACCATTCCTCTCCTCTGGCTTGAAAAGTCCCACTGCTCAGCAGGCAGGAGAACTGGGATGCCATATGGGTTCACCTAAGTCTCCATGCAGCCGACAGAGGGAGGTAGGGCTCTCTTCAGAGTTGTCTACCCACCACTCTTATCTATATCAAGAGCTCTTATGCTCTTAATATCTATAGTAAAGTCAAATTCCTTGCCTATAACCATGCCCATGCCTACCATAGTCTGGGTTATAGGGCCTTGATTATCACTTAGTTTTCAGACCCTGCAGAGTGCTGTCTGGTTTTGACCGTAGCACTGTGCTATGTAATGGTGGCAAAAGAGTGTCCTTTAGCCTTCCTGGACTGGCCATATTTAGCATCTGATTGTCCCAGTGTTAAGCAGAATCCCCTGACTTGCTCTCACTTCTTGCTTTGTCTTCAGGTGTATGGCTTTGCTTTCATGTCTTGTGCTCCACCACTCTGAATGATCAGCGTGGACCAAAAAATCCTGGATTTCTCCCATCCTTCCTCTCACTCACATGCTGGTGGCTCTACTCCAACGCGGGCTTTGGCAGATGTCCTCTGGCAAGCATTGAAGAATGAAGCACATCAGAAATAGTTCTGAGAGCAAATGCAGAAGGTCCAGTGATCTTGTGGGTCTCCCACCCTCCAGGCAAGTTGAAGCAGGACACCCTGGGAATAAGTACACGGCTGTGCGGATGGTGTTACCACACAGACCCTGGTGTCCTCAGTTATAAGGCAAGGATCCACGAGCTGCTGGCCAACTATAGAGCCAAGCTCACAACAGGAGGTGAAGAACACCTCTGAGCTCCAACTTGTACACCTAGTGAGGAGGACTGCAAACCAGGATGGAGAGGGCCAAGGCACACTGGTAACTGTAGACCCTGGAAACCCAAAATAGGGAGTAATGGCAAGAGAGGGAGAAAGGGGTACTCATAATAGAGCTTCAGGGGGAATAATGGGTTAATCTGCCAGTATATTAATGTACAAAGCATGGGAAATAAAGAGGATCTGGAAGCCTTAATACATGATCAAGATTACAACTTAATAGGCATAACACAGATTGCAATGTTAATATAAAAGGGTGAAGCTTGGTAGAAATATCAATGTAAAAGAGCGCAGTGCTTGCTTTTAGAAGAGAGGAAAAAGGAGGAGGAGGTGTCTTGAATATCAAGAATGCACTCACTTGCCTTGAGATCCAGTTGTAAAGTCAACTAGATCCATTTAAGTTCTCTGGGTAATGACTACAGGGAGAAGACACAAATGCTGTCACTTGGTTGGGAACTCCTACAGATCACCAAATCAAAACAGTAAATGGATGAGACTTTTTACAAGCTGGTTAAATTACTCAGAGTGAATTCAGCACAACAGAAAGGGACCAGCAAATTTTTGCAATGAATTGGTGGCAATTTAATCAAAATCTGCCCCTCTACTCTGCTCTGGTGAGACCCCCCCTGCAGTGCTGCGTCCAGCTCTGGAGCCCTCAGCACAAGACAGGCATGGACCTGTTGGAGCGGGTCCAGAGGAGGCCACGAAAATGATCAGGGGGATGGAACACCTCTGCTGTGAGGAAAGGCTGAGAGAGTTGGGGTTGTTCAGCCTGGAGAAGAGAAGGCTCCGGGCAGACCTTATTGCAGCATTTCAGCACTTAAAGGGGCTTGTAAGAAAGATGGGGACAAACTCTTTAGCAGGGTCTGTTGCGACAGGACAAGGGGAATGGTTTGAAACTAAAAGAGGGTAGGTTCAGATTAGATATAAAGAAGAAATTTTTTATAATGAGGGTGTTAAACCCTGGCACAGGTTGCCCAGAGAGGTGGTAGATGCCCCATCCCTGGGAACATTCCAGGTCAGGTTGGACGGGGCTCTGAGCAACCTGATCTAGTTGAAGATGTCCCTGCCTGCAGCAGGGGGGTCGGACTAGATGACCTTTAAAGGTCCCTTCCAACCCAAACCATTCCATGATTCTATGATAATTTGTGGATATGAAAGATGGAATTAGAGGGAGCTGAAGGAAAATGAGAACCACTAGCCATTACCTTTAAGATTTCGCATAGGACAGATTGGGTACAGGTAGACTGGACCAAGTAGTGTCTGTCTTCAAGAAAAGGGGAGGAGAGGACTTGGGGAATGATACATGAGACGACCTAGCCTACCTCTCCAAAAGAACTTGGGGAAAAATCATCAAAGTATCTGTGAGCACTTAGAAGATAAAGTGGGACCTGGGTTTGTGAAGAACAAGTCACATCAGGATGTCGCATCCTAACACAGGTGTCTGAAATAGATGATGTGAATCATGCTCTAAGAGTACCCTAAAGCTGCCAATAAAACAAGTCTAAGCATGGCTCGCTCGGATGTGGAAACTGAACATGGCAGACATCTAACCTGAGGTCAGATGAATTTCATTCAGGATGTCGTATATCATGACTCTTCCAACACGGCCCCAGCTCTGATCTGACTTTTGCAATTTTAGAAATTTAATGAAGGACCAAAACCAAGCTCTATTATCTCAGTCTAGCTCCAAGCACAGCACAGATAGCAATAACCTGCACCAGCAGAATGCCTAAATATTTCCAAAAGAAAGATTACTTAGCTTTCCTCAAATATTGATTGACAAGATACCACTTTCTGGTAGTTAACCGTATTATGGGCCGATCCCTGTGGGTGCCAGTAGAAAACAGCACATCATCCAACCATGAGTGGATGGTTGCTGGCCAGGATGGTGGAGTCCAGCTGTGCTTCCTTCGCACTCAGCAGCCTCAACAAACGTCTTTGCTCTACTCCTGCACTACTGCTGGTTGTCACCTATGGATTCAGGTGTTCACTACAAAGCAATTTAAAAAATGCACTCGATCCAATGCCTACATGCGGTGATCCCAGACGCTGAGGTCTTACAACACGATACAGCTTCATCACTTTGGCAAAGCGGTCAGAAGGTTGTTTACAATTAGGTAGGGGTTGAAATACTTAATTGAATGAGGGCCTTTTTCTCTGGTGAGCAATTACCAGTCTGGATTACGGGCTTGTAAATAGTTACACACCCGTGACCAGTAATCAGTGGGCAGCGCTGAACGGCTGTGGAGCCTTCACAGCAACAGATAGGTGCTGAGAATTGCCCACTCGCACACAAAGAGGCATAATTGGGAAATAGGTTAAGAAAATACTGATATTTCTTATTGCAATAAAACAACCGAACATGCTTGTATTTCCATGACCTGAGAAAAAATCCCAGTCACCTTTTCGTGTTCCCTCCCTTCCTATTCCTTCCTTTCCCAGATGAAAAGAAATCAGTGGGGACTTTTTTCACTTTGGACAACCTTAGAGACCATTTTTTCACTTGGGGTGAAATGGTGAAGTTCAAAGGCATGTAAACACTTCTGCAAACCAAAATTGCTTTTCTTTTTTTTTTTCCCAATTGCAATTTGTCAGGAAACAAGGTGAACTCAGATTATCCAGCATAACTGTTTTCCCTCTGGCCAGCAACATGCACCCACAGAGTGCTGAGAACAGTCACTTGTAGTCCAGTCTCTTAAGGTTATACACGTTTCTCATGCGATATACAACCTATAGTCACAATTCTTAAGCCATTTGAACATGAAACATCATCTGTTCACGTCTGGCAATGCCCCCTAATACACTAAAGGCATTAAAAAATAATAAATAAATGCATATTTCATGTGCTCCTTAATGCAAAATGCAACATCCCATTAAAACATACCTCTGGCTGTGGTACCCCCTGCCCACGTCTGGCTTTGTGGAGCAGCACCGAGCCAGCGTCGCTTCATCCCACCCCACAACCCACACACATGGCTGTGGGGAGAGGACCAGCAGTGCAAGCCCAGCTCCGCACCCAAGACTCTCAAAGGCAGAGAAACATGCTCCAACTCACGGCAGAGCCTGGCAAGCCTGGTTCTCCCGGCTCCCCCTGCAAAGAAAGCGGTGATGAGTTACCACGGGGAAGAGCTGCATTTCATCTGGAAATGGGGATTGCTGTAGGAGATACCTACAGCTGTGGAAAAGGAGGCAAAGGGACCTTTGGGGACCCCTCTGCAGCAGCAGCTGGAGGGGCAGGTAGGATACCCCAAACATCTCAGCTGGGCAACTGGATGGAGCCCTACATCTTCATTGACTATAGCTGGAGCTTAGAGAGCAGTTCACACCTCACGCCTAAATACTGACATTCCAGTGAGTCATTATTGACTATTTTAGCCCAGGAAAGATGCCAGGGAACTTTGCTGCTTTACAAAATGGGAGAAACCTTTAGGGCTCTTGTGGAAAAGTGCAGCTGCTTCTGCTCTCTGGTAGTCCCATAACATTTCAATCAGCAATTTTGGAGAGGGAACGCAGAATTATATTCTGTGAGAAAACTGTGAAGGGATTTTACACATCAATTCTTGAAGAGGATGCCTTAACATAGGTGCTCACTGTACTCACCTTCTGTCCCACCGGTCCTCTTGTTCCAAAAAGCCCCATCACTCCCTTGGAGCCAGCGTCACCTTTGACTCCCTAAAATTTTAAAATCCCTGTCAAATACATTTTAAGTACCTACTGCTCTTGAAGTGAACCCCCCCAGAGAGAGACCAGTAGAGGAACCCATGGAGATGGCAAAGAGGATGACAAACCCCACCATTTCTATGGCAGACTTCAGCCCCAGAGACCCTATGGCAGCCAGTGCTTGGGAAGAAAGCCACCAGAACAGCTCAGCAGAAACCTCAGCAAACTGTTTTATAAGAGTGTTGGTGCCCAGCAATGGGGATTGAAGGAAAACAAGGAGAAAAGGGTCTCAAATCCTCTGGATGAGCTGCCTCCTTGCACTCAAGTAGAAGACCCTGCTGGACATACTGGTGGTGGAGATACTACTTTGAGGCTCCATCCAAAGTCACTCAGATATTTGGCCAAGAGGTGTTCTTGCTTTAGGAGATGCTTACGTATTATTTTTTTATTAGGAAGCAATCTGACAAGTATCACGTATGGGTTTTCATCTGACTTAAAAAACCAGGTAAACAGGTACCACCCATGGGACCTTCTCCATGGGTTTCCTTTACAGTCACTGGGGACCTAATCAGTGCACTCAGTCGTGGCAAGGACAAGATTTCCCCCTTCACAAGGGAGATGTCCCCACTGGGTCAGGCAATTCCCACCCTGAACTACACTGATTCTACAGGTCCCCATGGGAAATAACAGGAGCTGGATGTCTAGCTCAGATAGGGATGCTGCTGTTGTAGCTACTTATATTTATTCAGCAGAGTCTCCGTCCTGGGTCAGACTTCCGGAGCAAAAACCATTAACATAATATGAAAATAGGGATGATTAATACATGGAGATTTAATCTGTGACTCAGTCTGAGAGTGGGAGAGTTACGTGATTCCTGCCAGTCAAGTGGTGATGGGTTGAGACCTGAGACCTCCACAGGGTGCTCTCAAAGAGCAAAGGCAGACGGAGGGGCAGGCGACTCGCTCTGCACCACCCAGGGGACAGCCCTGTGTGAAAAACAGGAACAGAGGAACCAACCAAGCCTTACCAAAAATGTCACAAGAGCTGCAGGGTTTGAAGTAGCACGGCCAGCTCTTGGAGGGAGAGGGAGATGCGGGACCCTTACAGTGCAGTAATTGAATGGTCACTTTTCCCAGAGTGATCCTGTACCGCAGGCACGGTCCCAAAACTACAGACTTGACACCTGGTAAATTGGATATGTATCATGTTCCCAAGCCCCAGCCCAGCATCCTCCTCTCCCTTTCTGTGGTAAGAGCTCGGCGAGTGTGTCCTCGCACCGTGTTTTCCAGCAGGCATGTGGGATAGGAGGATGTAAAGATACCTGTCCCTTCCTCACACAACCAGTGACCTTTTGCTGTCTCTCTCCGTTGCATCGGGAGGTTCATACCTTTTCTCCTACAGGCCCATCCTCTCCCTTCTCGCCTTTGTCTCCGTCAAAACCTGGCAGGCCCCGTTCACCCTGGAAGGTAAGAGAGAAATTAGTGGATCGTGCCTTTCTCCTGGAAGGACCCAGCTCTCAGCCGCTGGCTCAGGACCAGAGTGCTGGTTCTCAGTGCTTATCCCAAGCTGTACTCAGTGCTGATGCCACCAACAGTGGGGAAGGGACAGCTTAAAAAGTCAGTAAGAGTCAAACTTACGGGATCTCCTTTACTGCCTTTATAGCCCTGGGGTCCAAAAATAGTCATGGGCTCACCCTAGAGAAAGGAGACACAGAGAGATGTAGACGCCAGGTGATACATGAACTCATGGGTCCCACTAGATGGAATCGCACTTGCTATGATTGGCGAAATGGTAATTCACACATCTGCAATGAAGGTAAGCATTTCCCAAACTCCCCCATACTGGGGAAGGCAGGTATGCTCCACAGCACAACATTAATTGTTACGGTTAATCTGTCCTTAACTAAAAGCTGGATGATGAACGCGCACAGCAAACTACAAGAAGTCCCGAGGTTTGACAGTGACCTCTTGCTCCAAAAAATGTTGGGGCCCAATGGCACTACCCTAGTCTAGATGTCACGGCTGGAAATGGAGCTGTGAACAGCATGACCCTGAGGTTCAACTCCTGATCCGAGGCTGTCAGTGGTGGGACAGGTTCATATCTGACATGGTGACTTGGCTTCTTTGTCAAAGTATGTCACTCGGGATGTCAAGGTTTGCGTCTCTTCCCAGGTGTGAGAGCTGGCAATAGGCAGGATGGTGAACTGGTCTACTCATGGTGTCTTGATTTATGGACATAGAGTTGGAGCTAAGGAAGGGGAATGGCGCTTAGGGTACCCCTCAGAGGTAGTTTTGGAGGGTCAGACTCCCAAACTGTCATCCCAAGAGAGACAGTAGCTACAGGCATGTAGTAACCCCATGGACACATCCGTGCCAAGTCTATTTGTAGCTCAGCAGCTGAAGAAGGTAATTTTGCTCCTCAGAGAGTGAAGAACCTGCGACAAGGCTATTCCCATGCAAGAAATGGCTCTGCTCTGGCAAAGCGATGATTGTGTCTCCAAAATGGTGATGCCATCCATAGTCCAGAGGGAGGAGGGCTGAAGCCACCTTCTAATGGGCAACTGTAGCCCATTTGAAAAGGATTCCCTTTACACCAGCTCTCTTCAGGGTTGCAAACATCCCTGTTCAGGGTGACTGTGCCTTACTGCTGGAGTCTTAACGACGCATCAACCAATATTCCCCAAACTTTGACAATCTTTTGCAGTTTATCCAACCATCACCATCACCACAGGACCCTGATCAAATTCTGGCTTAAATCAAATCCTCCTGCTTCCCTGCTCTGGAAGATCTCTAATGGGGATGGGATGGGGCTCAATCAATTTTGGGGACAAAAGGGAGAATAAAGATCCTGTAGTTTATTCCAATGCAGAGCACAGGCCATGGGATCCTGTATTGATCATGGGAGAGTTAGAAAGAAAGTTAAGCTGCAATCATGTGGAACAAACCCTAGCCAATTATTCCCTCCCCTCCCTGTTTTATCTCGCACTCCACCTTATATTTTATTAAGGTATTCTTTGGAAAATGCATTACACGTCCCTTCAGCTTGGAAAGTGTTTTGGGGCCTCTTCACGAAGCGGATTAAGAATTGATTCATCTCTGGAGCGAGTCCCCTTTGAAAGTAGCTTCCTCAGAGACAAATCGGCCTTAATCATTTAATACTGCGTGACTCAAAGGCAGAATCGTCATGTAGGTTTTCTAAAACTCATTTTCTAACAAGCCATTTCAGCCAGGAAGGAAGTTAACAAAACACTGGGCCGAAGTTCAGCATTTTCTGTGCATTTTCCAGAAGTGCTCAGGGAGTTATTTTCGCATTACCTGCTATGAGCCAGCTCAGGCTTTTTAAGATTGCGGTATGCTTCGGGGTGAGCTGGTTATACCAAAATCAGTGGAATTTTTCTTCCTCCCTTAATTCACAGGAGGCATTTTCGTGCCACAGCAAATAGTTGCGAAAATGACTTTTTTTGGTGGTTGTTTTGTAGGATCCCGTCAAAACTATCACGCAAGCTCAATCCGGAGCAGTGTGTCCAGTGCAAGGATGGCATCAGCAAAGTAGATCGAGCCCGGTGGAAACCCCCGAGAAGGAGGGGGCCATCTACGTGTTATCTTCCACTACCTACATGGGTGCACAATGTAGAGAGGATGGATCCAGGCTCTTCTTGGAGGCACACAGTGGAAGGACAAGTTGCAACAAGGGAAACTCCTATTAGACAAAAGGAAAAACTTCTTCACCCTTGGGGTGGCCAGATGCTTGAGCAGGGACACAGAGAAGCACACATAAGGCCCTTCAAATCCTGAAGATTTCATTGGCAATGGGATCTTGATCCATGCACATGGACGGCAGTGCACACAACACCATAGATCGAAGGTAGGATTTAAAGTCCTCTTCGATGAAAGGCATTTGCACACCATCATCGGGGATCCTTGCTCAGCGCTCCATGCTGGGTGGGCTACGCTCACCCACATGTAATGATATGAATCCTATAAAATCACTAAGACCCCAGATATTTGAAAAAATGTAAATATTTTTTACCATTTATGCCTCTACCTTGTAAGATCACTGACTCATTTAAATAACTGTCCATCTGCTCACTGGTAGCTATAAAATCCTGAAAACCTTTTACCCCATCTGCCCCAGAAAGCCACAATCTGGAATGTCCTTACTCTTTCTCCCTTGGGTCCCAGAAGTCCCCGATCACCCTGAATACAGGAAAGAAAAAAAGACAGTGAGTGATTCCCTTTTTACTCACTCTTCTTGTGTTGCTCAGTCCATTGATTCACACTCCAAGCCACAAAGATCTATCACAGCTGGAAATCAGTTCCTCTGGGCACTCTGCAAAATGATTAGCTTACCACAAGAGATTGCACACAACTAGAATTTATTGCATTTACGAAAAAATAAAGACCTAGAGGACTGAAGTGGTTGGCCTGACTCCATGCTCAGCACATTCATGATGTGGAGCTATTGCTGGATTTCGACCTCCCAACGGGATGTAGCATGTCCATGCTGCAGGGATGTGCCTACACGATGTCTAGGGTGAGAAGGCATCCTATATAATATAGGATTTCCCAACTTTCAACCTCAAATCGAGCATGCTTTACTGGGAGCGTATGAAATATTAGCTGCTCCTGAAAGTTTTGTATAATGGGCGTGGGATATGAGGCTGAAAGGGCAGGACTCATTCCTGATGGCATCTCATAACCTTCTCCAGTGCTCAAGACTGATGTGGTGACAGCAGGAGAAGGGGGAGGCTGCAGGACCAGGTGGGGACAGGAGAGTAGAGACAGGTTTTAAAACTGCACTTGAACTGCTTCTGAGTAGCAGAGCTGTATGTGGATCCCTCCCCCGGTGTCCCATGACACACCCCTGACATTTGGGACAAAATCTGCTCTTCTCAGTACTACACTTTCCAAGGGTTGCAAGTGGGATGTAGCAGAAGGAGATGGAGGGGACTTCTGCTCACCAATACAAATGAAGGGGTATGTGTTGCCTGGTGGGCAGTCATTGTCCTGCTGATGCTGCAGGACATCTGCTCCCCAGCCCTATTCCTCCAGCCCTACACATTTGGGGATCGACCAGAGCACACCAGGCGTCCCTTTCTGTCCAAACTCCCATATTTCCTTCCAAAAAGAACATGCACCCTCAACTCAGCCCAGCCATCACAGGGGGCTGCTAATGCCACTTCACACTTCCACACACTGACCGAGGTCCCCTCCCAATCCACCCCCAGAAGATGCTGGGATTATCCCCACTGTTTAACAGGGGCATCAGCAGCACGGGCTGCTGCAGAGAAAGGCTCCCCACAACGGTGCTTTCCTCCACAGGCACTGTGTAGATAAGATGACTGTTGCTTACTCTTTCGCCTTTCACACCCGGGAAGCCTTTTAGACCCTGCAAGAACATAAAACAGGATGTGAAGATAAATATCAGTGGGGAAGGTGTTAGGAAAGAGCAGCCTCCACTTGAAGGCAGAGCTGCCTCCAAGGATGGGCTCCACCATGCAGAAGCTGCTGGTGGGACCAGCACAGGAGCCTCTACTCTGCTTCCTTGCTCCTGAGAGCAATTTAAGAAGTGAATCACACTGGTGCAAAGAGCAAATTTAGCCTTAAGCTTCTGCCCACCATTGAGTCTTGGGAACAAGTCAGGATCTCTTGGTGGATGTATAAATTTAGCCAGCGTCCCCCATTTTGCAAGCCATGTGCTGTGATTTTTGTACCCTTAATATTAAGGAGATGCAGCCCCCACCTCTCAGAAAGTATAGAGGAAGGGTTGCTCTTGGAGGGCTTCTCATAGGTGGGGGTGATGGGGATCCCCAGATGTCCCCCAGGGCAGGTCGGAGCCCCTGGAGACAGAACCAGGATGGGAACCACACCTGGAGAGCTGAAAAGCCATGGTGGTCACCCCAGGTGTAACCCGTTTGCAAAACTGGGGACCAGCGACCTTCCATGAATATGCAGAGAGGTGGCACCTTCCACCTCCAGAACTGGCAGCTCATCAGAGGGGTGGGCATGGACAGGATGGATGAGGAGGAGATAGAGCACAGACACATCCCAAAGGGCACAAAACCTGGGCTTTGCCACCCCACTGTGCCCTGCGCTGCTGCTCTGACCACTGGGACACATCATCTTGCAAGCCCTTGTGGTGCAAGGACCAGTCTTGCTGAGGATCAGCCCTTCAGGAATAAGATCCCAGG